GATAATATATGTTTTTCGAGAAATCCAAACTCTAATTGTAAGTAGCTACATTGCGAATGTTTTATACATGTATTTTCCATTTTCATACATGTTTCATAAATTTATAAATTTAATTTAACGGTGCTCGATTAGAAAAATCAAGGCTGCCTTGAGAAAAATAGGAAAAATAAATTTCTCAAGCCATAATGACGATACAACATAATGCATGATGCACGTGTAAGCGCGCGTGCGCATGTGCGCAATAATATTATACATATACATATGTATAGCAACTTAAAAACACTCCAAATTGTACAAATTAGTTAAGTGTGGTAATTATGTTAAATAGTAGCTCATATAAAAAAATGATAAGAAATGACTCCGTGTTTACAGCATGGCTATTTTCTTTAATTGAGAGAGATAAAATGCAGGAAATTTTCCATTTCTCAAAATAAAAGACAAAACTTAAAAAAAGAATGTTTAAAAAGTTTTTCAACTTTTTAAGATATTTACAATGTCTTCACTCCTATCTCCTTCAAAATATATTTAAAACTGAAATTTCGACATAATTGAAGATATCAAGAAAAATTCGCGGACACATTTGCGCGTCATCGCAAAAAAACAGGTACCAGAACTGCTGACCTTGTTGCATCAACCGACAAGCAACATATTTCGATGGAGATACGGATGAATTAATTATAAAACTCCGTAAAAATTATAAATTATAAAGTTCTAGAAAGTTTGAACGGACCATTACAAGATAACAAAATAATTGACGTGAGACAAGCGAAAATGTTCTTTATTTTGGAGAATAAAAAAATAAAAATAAAAATAAAAATTCTATCTTCAAAATATGAAGAGTTTCCCTTTTCTAAGCACTACAATTTCGCTTTCAAGAAGAAAATTCTTCTTTTTTAAGAAAGCTGTTCTTCCTAAAACTAAAAGAAATATTTGCGTCTTTTAGAATATTTCTTTTCTTGCAAAAATCAAAATTTTCGTTGTAAAAAGCAAAAATATTTCATTCTTATTTTTTATTTTCATTTTTTAATTTTTATTATTTTTTATTTTATTCATTTTAATCGATCGAATTGGTTGAGACGCCCTCCTAGCGAGAAGGTTCAAACCCTGACTGAGGTAATATTTTTTCGCAATTTTAGTATGAAATATTTAGACACTAACACCCTGTCACGGCTCTTAATCCTCTATTCCTTCAAATTTGTGTTTATCACATTTGAGCCATACGAATTTTGTTAATTTGTTATTCATTTTATTTTTCCTTTTTTTTACGAACACATTAAGAGTTTTAACGAACCAAAAGAATAGAACACTGAAAATATTCGCAGTCTCCCTGGGGTTTGGCTTCATATCAGTCGTATCCTTTTCCATGTTATCGCACTATTTCATAAAATTTGATGACACTTCAACTAATAAAAAGCAACTGCAAACGATTAGCAGTCTTATTTTTACTTTTTTCCTTTACTTTTGTTTTCTTTATCGTCTCGAGAAACGCTCTACAGTAGTTAGTTCTTTACTGGAACCATCAGTAATTGTGTCCTTACTTTTCATATCAGTTTTAGGCTCCGCCTAGCCTGTTCGTACGTCTTAATTACTACGCTTTACGCAGTGGGTGACCGCAAGAGGAAGGGTAGTGACAGGTAATATTATGGACGCTAGGTTCGAGGTTACTATGACCTTTTATTTGTGGCTCTTACACGCTGGGTGTCGACCACCCTTGAACTTTGTTTGGGTTGCCGCGTCCCGAAAAGTCTTCCGCTTTTGGGCGTTTGATTTCATCTCCGTCGTATCCTTGTTATCGTATCCTTATCCATGTTATCGCACTATCTCACAAACTTTAACGACACTTAAAACTAATAGAAGGCAAATAACCACCATTAGCGCTCTTATTTTCTCTTTTTTATTTTATTTTCTTATTTTTTTCCTCTAACGTCTCGAGGAAACGCACTCCTAATGCTCTCCGATAGACAATACTTTACTGGACTCACCAGTAATTGCATCCTTGGTTTTCATATCGGCGTTACATATTTCTGTAGTACAACGATAACTGTCCTGTAGAAATGCATTAACATAAAGCATTTCTTGTTTTTACGTGACTCTTTCAACATAACGCTTTTTTCTTTTCTTTTAATTTGATTTTTATAATAAAATGTTATTTGTTTCTGAATCGAATAATTTCAACAATTGGTTAAACGTCAACATTATCGAACGAGAAACCATTACAGTGATGTTTAATTTCTCATAATTTTTGTTGTGCAAATACAACAATGCAATTTATATTACTTTTTAAAATATTTTATTACTTCGTGTATACGCAGATTTTTTGTCGTGGCGTATACATATAGCGCTATCAAGAAATGAACAGAATTTATGAGAAATACGTCATATTTTATTTTGATACACTTTGACGAAATATCGAAAAATAGCATTTATTCCTATTCTGTATTTAATTGTAAGATAAATGCAACACATTTACGTGTCATTTAGAGCAATAAATAAAAAGAGAATCGAAATTGGCATGTAAACAGCCGCATCTTACCCTCCATTTATGTCATCTCGTTACACATTGAGTGTTTCTTTTTTTTCTTCCTTTTCTTCGCAAATTTGATCGTACTAATTAGCATAGGACATGTATATACATATAAGTATACACTATACAGACACATATACAGTAAAATATATATGTATATAATTATAAATATATACATTGCTCATTTTTATACGAAAAAGAGTAGCATAAAAACAGTGTCGTAACTAAGAGCTTTGAGGCAACACTTGATTTTGTATTCTCAAATAAAATTACAAAAGTTTTCAGATATTAATACCACGATAGGTGTAATAAAGACATTTTTAGATATTGCTTTCTATATTCCTCTTTAAGGTTTACAATGAAATGCCTACAGACATGAAACACTAGCCTCTAATTGCGCTTTCCGGGTGCTGGTGCCCCTGGCGTGGACCTCGGTTGCTCTGCCCTAGTTACGACACCGAAAAGAAATCTACAAAGCGGACTGTTCGGTGATCGTGGCGTCGCTCTCGCCCTCAGTATTTTGTCCCGACAAATTCAATTCACGATGATCGTTGTTTCTTACGCAAGCCGTTCTCGCCTGTTCCAGAAGACTCTGTGCCATCTGATTGCCCGTCTTTTGCACCATTTGTGAAAAATAGCCATTCGGTTTTTCGTGCAACAGCTCGTAAGGACAACCAAATTCCTGTTGGCACGACAATTTTGATTAATTATAAACAGAATAATTACAAACAAATTCCTTTATAATTACGAAGATACCGACACTTTCCAGTTGCGTTTTCTAAGATCAATATCTTTGCTAACATACATTTTTTAACGCACGCTTCATAAAAATGACGAAACTTACTACAATGGAGCCGTTTTCCATCACAATGATCCGGTCGCTGTCTATAATGGTATTTAAACGATGCGCTATCGTGATGACGGTGCATTCTTTAAAAATGCTCCTTATAGTGTCTTGAATTAAAGCATCGGTGCTAGAAAAAGAATTACAAAAAATTAAATTCACAAATACACGAGGGATCGTTTATGACTGCTATAATAGCATCTCACAAATATGTGAACTAATTTAGTACTATAATAGGACATATTATGTGCTCCACCACGAATAAACTCCATACACTATATGGAGATATTAAATTATTTCAAAAATTAATACTTTACCAATCAACAATTTGAATTATTTATGCGATTGATTATTTGTACTCATTAACAATGAATCGAAACTATATGAACGTTGCCGGGAGAAAGTTGAACAATCCAACTAAAGAATCGTCGGGACTCACTGCGAATCAATATTGGCCGTCGCCTCGTCGAGAACGAGCAAGCGGTTGTTCCTCAGGATCGCTCTGGCCAGACATATGAGCTGCCTCTGGCCGACGCTGAAGTTGTGGCCGCCGTAGAATATATCGTGATCCAGTGCGACATCGTTCAGCTCGACTTGCCGAAGTACGTCCCACAGCTTCATGTCATCGTACTGATTGAACGGGTCCAGATTGTAGCGCAGACTCTCGGAGAAGAGCACCGGTTCCTGCGGTATGATGGAGATCTTGCAGCGTAGCTCGCCCAGGCCTACCGTGCTCGTGTCCCAATCGTCGATCTTAATCTCGCCCTCAAGACCCTCGTTGAATAGGCGGAACAACGCTGAGATCAAAGAGGACTTGCCGGCGCCGGTTCGTCCCACTACCCCAACTTTCCAGCCAGGCTCGATGGATACGTTCAGATTCTGCAAAGCGCAACCACGTGAACAAAGAGTGTCCGTAAATATGAACGATTGGTTTGCTTACTTTCAAAACCGGTGGATCATCTTTGTGATACTTCATGCTGACGTCCTTCAGGACCAATTGCCCCTGAGACGGCCATGTAGGCGGCGGTGGGTTGTCCGAAGTAATGGGCTTCTCCTGGGGAAGATTCGTGTATTGTAGAACTCTTTCCACGGAGGTCATCAGCGACATAGTCTCGGTGGACTGTTTTATGCCGTATTGCAGGCAACCAATTAGGATCAACGATTGCGATATTGCCAAGCCTGCTGTGCTGTCGGCTACACCGCCTGAAGCAGAAAGATCAACGAATGGGCTTGCAATAGCTCGAGGATACCTTGAGATTGTCTAAACACATTTTCCAAGATATAATGCTTATTGCATGCAAAGATAAGAACATGCTAACTGAAGCTTAAATATTAAAAGACGATTCGACTCTACTAATTTATTATAGCTTTCTGTATTTTCACGAAATCTGCCGTAAAATCACAAGGGACACTTAATGCTTAACAACCGAGAACCTTTTGATTAATCATAATTTACCATTTTCATTCAAGAATACTAAGGAGTAGCAAAGCGTGGCGAGGAACAGGCACATGATTAGGTCCGTAAAAACACCGAAGGTTGTCCCGCACGTTATGAAGAGGTACCACGTGCCGCTGTGACGGTCTTGCAGCACGTCGAACTGCTTTCGCATCATCGTCTCGATTCCGGCGCCGCTGCTTCTGATCGTCGGCAGTCCGTTCAGCGTTGCATTCACGTGCGAGAACAACGGACTCTTTGCTGAAGACGTAAACGCAAATATGACAAACTCCTCGAGCATATCCTAGACTACGGATGAAAACTTGAACATCAAGTTTGACGGTGAAGGTCAAACGGAATCTAAAAGTCGAGGGCATACGCCACGCGTATCCCGTCTCACTCCTTTCTAGCGAAGAAAGCTATTCGTTCCAATACTTACTTACGCCTTCGAGACGTTTCACGTTCTGAGCGGTACTCAGGTAGAATTTTGTCATAAAGTAAAATACGACGGCCAGTATCACTATCGCTATTAGCATCCATGGATTAAGTATCGTCTCCATTACCAATATACCGCATACTACACAGCACACTTGGAGAGCCTCTAACATCGCTTTGGGCAGCAACTCGTCCATGGTGCCCATGTCTTTGGAAAATCTGTTTAAAATTCTCCCTGGAACGTAAACGGGTAACGCTGAACAAGGTCGAAGAGAAGTCCGTAAATTGATGTCCGAAGGTCGAAATCGAGGTTCATAGATTCGATAATTTCTGACTTAATAAATATACGATGAAGAACTTTATGCTAATCGCGCTTTATTTAATCATGAAGACTCGTTGCGACCATCCGGCAATGTCGAACTCAGACGAAAATATTGCTTGGTTCTTCAGTCGCTTCAAATACCATAAACTTTTCTAAATCTCTCTCCGTGACAATTTTTTTACCTATATGGATCTCGTGATTGTTCCTCACCGGTAGGATTCGTGTGGAAGAAGGTCATACGCGCCTGCAGCAGATTGGAGAACATGGTGTTGTGCAGATTGCAGCTCGAGTTCATGCAGACCTTCATGTAGAGGAAGCTGCGTAACAGCGTGGTGACAGTGCAGGAAATGATGCAGAACGTGTATACGTATATGGCATCCTCAGTACTGAGCAGACCGTCCGGGTTCAGAGTGAAGATCGACCCAAGGAAACTGTTGTTGTACAAGTATGCGTACTGACTGACATCACTAGTGTTCTCGACGCGCCTGACATCCTCCAAGCTGGTCCAGTACGAGAGCCAGTAATCAGTCCCGGAGGTGGCAACCTGACTGATGATAAAGAGCAGCAGCAGCATGAACAGGGAAAAATAGCTAGCGCCGTGGTGCAGATATTCCTTGTACACTTTGCCGGATATCCGACCATGTGCCATCATCTCAGCTTCCGGGCTATTCTCCGCATAATCCGAATCGTCAATCTCTGACTGTTGCACGATAGAAAAACAATAATTTGATTAATTGGTTTTCGCAATGAACGCATCCCGCTCGAATTAATCGCATTGGGATAAAAAAATACTATGCAAATATTATGTTAATAATATTGATGCATGTTTAAAAATTACTTTTAACTGCTCTCGTTGCAACACGCTACGAGAACTGTTTTTAGTCTGTTTTATTATTTGGTGATTAGCAACTTAGAATTAATTATCTTGAATGCGAAAACATGCCATTTAAATAAGTTTTTTCAATTATCATATCATATTGGGAGTAGACGTTTATTCAACACAGATAAATGCATAAATAATTTCCACGATTTTGTCTTTTAAAGGTTTAATTAAAAATGGTGAGTTATAATAATTATCTTACAACTGTGGAACTTGCGACAGATAATCCAGAAGCACGTCTCATTATCGAGATTCTTTTCATAGACATTTCCGAGGCTCTCCTCATATCCTCTTCCTTTTTCTGCGCTTCGTGACTCAAATTGTCCAACATCCTAATGAAATCTCTATTTGACTGTACCAATTCAGTATAGCTTCCTTGCATCTTCACAAAACCCTTCGGAAACAAAACGAGGATAACTAACCCCCCAACGGATGTAAATCCTGTTTAAAATGCCAAATAGAATGTAGTCAGATTACATGCAATTTAAATGTAAATAAAGAAGAGTCTTATTAATTTTCATTAAAATTGCATGTAGCCTGATCGTATTCTATCATTTTAAACAGGGAAGTTAAAATTTAGTATGAAAATCGACATGCCGATTAAAGAATACTCTATGCGATACTCACTCGATCCAATACGACGATGTAATCGGCGCGTTTTAGAAATTGCAACTGATGTGTTACGAGTATCCTCGTCTTGCCGTGAAGATACTCGCTGATGCACTTCCAGTAGAGATGCCGGCCGACGCGAGAGTCCACCGCGCTCAAGGGATCGTCGAGCAGATACAGATTCGCCTGCCTGTAAACTGCCCTCGCGAGATTGATTCGCGCCCGTTGGCCTCCGGACAGGGATACACCTCTGTCGCCGACCAGCGTCATGTCTCCTTGTGGAAACTGTCGGAAATCTTTCGTCAAGGCGCACACATTTGCCACCTAAAACGTTTACCATTGAACGCAAAGAATGTGAAACATAGGAAATGATAAACAGTTCGAAATTAAAAAATATCAAACAATAAAAAATATCAAAAAATATCAAAAGTCTCTCCCTGAAGAGTTATTTTCTTTAATTGGTAATAAATCAATGACGGTTCACGTCTAATAAATCGAAGCGGACCCAGTAAAAAATGGTTCGTCGAAATTCGACATCGATTGACGAGTCATTTCTCGCTGGGGAAGATGGTGGGAATTGAGAATTGGTGCGAAGTAACGTCGAACTTATTAATATTGATGTACAATGGCAGGGATACATGAATACCGTTCTGCATCTGCAATAACTGTCCTGAATTACGACAATTACCTGAGTATATCTGGCCTTGTCGTAAGGCTGGCCAAACAATATGTTGTCTCTGACAGTGCCGCCGAAGAGCCAGGGCTCCTGGCTGGCATAGGAAATGCGCAGATTTGGATTGCTCATGAAGTAACCGTTGGACATCTTACTCTGAAAGTTATCCTTCGAAGAGTCTTGAATGAGGCTCACGGTACCCGCACCGGGATCCAACTCTTTCAGCAGCAAATGCAGTATGGATGATTTGCCGGAGCCCACGGTACCGACCACGGCGCATAACTGGCCCGGCTTGATGGTCAAGTTGATATTGCACAAAGTCGGTGGCAGTTGGCCGTTGATCCAATTGGCGGAAACGCGCTGAAGCTTCACGCAGACCGGAAGGTCAGGTAATCTCTGAAGCTCAGAAAGCGCCATACTCCCATTTTTCGAGATATACCTGTCTGTTTGATTAACCTCGTCAGTAACTTCGTTTGGATTCTGAGATTCACGCTGTAACTGCGGCGTCTTCTCCGAACGTTCCATGTTTACTTCGTCCATCAGCAGAAGGTCCTGTAGAAATTGAGCTCGCCTTAATTATTGCGTCACACATAGCGTACGAATTATCCGTAAGATATGCGAGACGATGGATTTATAGTTTCTGCAAGAATTTGGAAATAATGGAAATAACGACATGCACCTCCAACCGGCTCATAGACACCATCGCTTCGCCCAACTGTATTAGCGCCTGTGGAAAGTACATCGCGGTAGTAAGTTGAAGCATATTGAAGTACGTCGACATTTCGTAAGTCAGGTCTGCAGTCAGGTTATGCCCTGTTAGAACGAACGTTATTAGGGTGAAGTAAAGGGTCAGCCGCTCGGTGAAGACTATGATGGCCAAATACGCGGCGCGCACGTACGACGAGAATTGGATTTTCTTGATCTCCAGCTGTCTGGTCAACGACACGATCTTGCTGAACGGTTTCTCCCAAGCGTACATCTTCACCACCTGAAACAAGTATCTTGCAATTGTGTTTCACAAAATTGTTTCCTTGGCATCTGACACTCAATCGTTAACGCCTTGTGTCATCACTTCTCTCCAGTTGTAAGAATAAAATAATAAATGATCAAATATCCCAGGTATATTTGATTACCTGTATCCCGGCTACGAGTTCGCTCATCAGCTGCACTCTCCGGTCGGTCTGTGGTGCGATCATGGCTCTGATTCTGCGACTCAGCAAGCTGAAGATTCCTTGAACCACTAGGGCGATAATTAATAGCGACCCGATGCCAACAAGGACCGAATAACCGAGTTTTTCCCACATTATACTTCCAATAATCACGATCTACAAGAAGATACGCGACCAACTTCATTTAGTCTTCCAACAGCAATATAAATATAAAAAAGAAAAAGATCCTAAACGTTCACGGCCAATTACTGAAGCTACAGTATGCGTGGATATATGCAAATGGATACGAATGTATTTATGAATATTTTTATAAATTTAGACTGATTATTAATAGATATATTTACCAATAATCTGAATAACACTAATTAATCTAAGCGATTTGAGTTGAATGAAGGGAGAGATGCTGTTGCCGTTTAATTATCATAGAATAGTCTTGGAATGCACATGAATATTTTTCACGAGATAAAAAATTACCTGAACAGGCATGATCCATATATAATTCACAAACTGTGTTAACTGATCGAAGCGAGTGACGTCATTGCTGAGAAGATTCATGATCTGTCCAGTACCGGTTTGGTTCATGGATGCTCTATTCAACCGCAATAACTGCAAACATTTTGGAAACAATTATAGTAGACCTACTATTATATAATTAAAAAAAATACTCTATTTGGACAGAACAAAATTTTCCATCATTAGCATATACAAATGAATGCTGAAGCCTTTGATATATTTTACTTTTGTGAAATACACAAGTGAAGGACACAATTGAAAAAATTGTTTAATATAATTTTATGAAGCCTTTAAATTTAAGATAATACAGTAAAATATTTTTCCTCTTGTTATTGCTACGAGTAAAAACTGCCTTTTCCCATTTTGTTGGGTTTTTCTCCGATTACGTAGCTCGTTGTATTTTGAAAGAGATAAGTATACATATGTCAGACCGTGATACATATTCGCAGGGTACCAGCACACTTGCTATCGGTTGAAGTCGAAGGACAAGCTTAATGAAGAAGAAGATATCGGCCACGTACGTAAATCGACGTGTATTCATTTATTATTTTTTTTCAACTGTAATAAATATTATACTTGTAACTCTTGATTGCATATTACAAGAGATGTTTTAAAGTTATTACGTGAATTTAAAAAATTGTAAATCTCGACATAAAAGCTTCTAAAGATCAATGCTAAAGATAATTTGTAAGTCGTTTATAATTATGGAGAAAATGAAATGCATATAAATAATATATACAAACATATATATATAATTTATATACATTTAATTTTTATGATATATTTTATTATTTTTAATATATAATAATTATAATAAATGTATACATTTTTTGCTCGTGATTATTATTGGCCTATTGTTGTTGCTCATTTGTTTTTACAAGAAACGAGCTTATCATACCATTATAATTTATAAATATACATATATAAATAATAAAATATATATCATACAAAACTAATTTTCCTCGCTGAATGTTTCGAGCGTTATAAAAATAAAAAATGATCATCATGGTGACCGGTCCTTTACTAATATAACTATTTTATCAGTAACAAAACCTCGCGTGACAGCTATTTTACATTTCGAACGCGTTAAATTTCACATTCTTCCGCAGGGAGCTCGAGAGTGGTCGGTATCAAGCGTATGCAAACGAAGTCAACAAATGTGCGAGATAACGAACTCAGTATGCCCTTACGGAAAAGCACCGAAATAATTATTAGAAAATTACTGTACATCAGTAATTTCTGATAGTTCAATTACTGATATACAGTAATTTTCTAGTAATTATTTCGTTACTTTTTCGTAAGGGTGGCCACTTCTGGCCCTAAAAAGAATTAATTAATTTTTTCGACATCTTAAGACAGTTCTTTTCCCCGGATAATTTAAAAATAGCCATATATGTACGTGTGCTGATAAATTCCTACGTTGATAAATCTTTTAATTTTGTTCCAGCCATTTTGTTTGTTAAACATTATACAGTCATTACTAAATTAGTTAGAGAACACTCGATGCACTTTTTTCCCCAACTTTTCTCTCCCTAGAAAGAATTTAGATCAATTCATAGGCTCGCAAATTAACCCATTACCTTCCGGTAGAGGAGAGAGCTGCAAGAGACGCGTATCCTCATGCCGATCTGCATCGACTGCATCATCGTATGGTGCATTATTAGAACGGAGATGATATTGCAAAGGACCATGCAGGCGATATAAATCAGCACATCGTCCGTCTCTGTCTTATACTTTGATGTCTGAGCGAAGTAATCGATAATCCAACTCTGAAAGATCGGTATTGCGACGCGTACCACATTACACTGAAAGTAGAAACATTGAAATTTTAGGATTTCTGCGAACTCACGAGTCTAATGAGTCTAATCTATCGAATCGAAGAAAAAGAACAAGAATAAGGAAAAAAAGAGAGAGGGTGAGAGAGGGTGAGAGAGGGTGAGAGAGGGTGGAGCCCAAATTAACAATTATTTTCTTCTTTATTATTAGCTTAGTCTAATGAGAAATACATATCTAATGCAAAAAAGTCTTCTAGTGGTCTCTTAATGGGGACATTTTTCTAATATTTCCCTTTATCGCGAAAATAATTAGTGTCATAAATTGTTTGGTAAATATATGGACTTATTTGGACATTGATCGAGTAAATTGCGCATTAGCCCTAATAAAGTATCACAGTTATTAGTATAAAGTTTTATTATTTTTTTTTCAAAATAATTAATATACTTGAATGAATACGAAGGTTCCGATTATGAAATACGGCAACCAAAAAGCATTGACGATCGCTTTGTATAATCTCGGACGGACATCCCTTTTTAAAGGTACTTTCTGCCCGTCTTTACCCACGGTATATTCCAGGTTTTTCAGTTTATCCAGCTCATGATTCCAGCATCTGGATGAAAAAAAAACGTCGGGACATTACAAGTTCGCGCTCTCGAATAATCCCGCTAGAAAAAAGCTAATAAGTTTCGCAATTAAAAAAAGTTTATAGAATCGTTACACGCTGCGAGATTAATATCGTTTGGAGAATATCATAAATTTGGCCGAGTCTTTAATCTAGTGAGATTTCTAACACGCGGATTTATACTTTTATCGTGCGTGAAAAGAGGACTAATTAAATTATTGTCTCATGCTAATGAGTTTTATTAAAGTGAAACGGAATCGATACTAATCTTACAATTAATTAGAGAAAATGCCATTTTTAGTCTGATTGCATCTTAGCTTAATAATATTTTTGTAAAAATTTTGTATTCTTTTTTTCATTTCAGTAAATGCCCCCCGATTATTTGTCGGTCTTAAAACATAACTTTTTATCAGAACAAAAAGCTGTATTTCATTATCGACAAATAATCGATGCGCAATTTACTGAAATGGACAAAGTATATAAAATTTAAATAACGATAAATATAAAATTTACATAGAAATATTACTAGGCTATTAAGATTCGACTGAAAATAACACCTTTTCTACTTTAAATTTTATTAACTTTTTCCCGCGTTTTTCGCTTAAAAAGAGGAAAAATCGTGTTATCGTAAAATAGAATTGATATCAAATAATATAAAAAATGTATTGTAAATTACATAAATTGCATTTATATTTTTAAAATAATTATTGGCTTGCACATTAAAAAATAACTATTCGTTTACTGTATTCTGAATACAGCGAAATTGAGTGTTAAGACTGTTAAGAGCGTTATTGTTACACGTTTGTACGTACGTCCATTTGTCTCCAACATAAGCGGTACTCACTTCTCGAGATGATCAGTCAGTTTTTCAGATTCATCCGCTTTTACTGGACGATAAATATCAGATTCCTCCAGATCACGCTTAATGCCTTTCATAAATAATTCTCGCATCCACCTGTGCACATCGCAAACGATCGGTATATTTTATATTACAACCCAAAGACTATTCTAAAGCAGCGGTTTTTTTCTTTTCCTTTTACTATCAGTGAATACATAACAAAAATACATATATGTATATGACGCGAAAAATCAAAGACTTTATATACGAAATTAAGTATATATGTATTTTACACTAACATGAATTGTCAACCAAATTTTTAAGTTGTTTGTATGTTAATGTACGCAAGTGCTACAAAATATAATAATTTCTTCTATCGATACTAACAGGATTACGTATAATAATTTGGAAAATCAAAGGTTCTACACAAATAGATACTTTGCGGGCGCTTTATACATATACCCAAACAACACGTATGTCTAAAAGACATCTTTAAGACGTCTTTAAGTCGTTTTGTAGACATGCATATCTAAAAGTTTTAAAGACGTCTTAAAGATGTCTTGTAAACATAAGTGCCGTATGGGTATTTTTAAGTGTAAATTTACTTTGGCGGCGTTTTTTTACTAGAAAAATTAAGATGAAGAAATATAGAAAATAAATAAATTCTCTTGAATAAATAATTCTCTCCGTAATGAGAGATACGTAATATAATATGATGCATGCGGTATATGCACGCGTATGTAATTAATATACATACATATAATAATTTGATGCAAAATGACTCATTGTCAGTCATATGGAGGCACAGTTAATTGTAGCAAATGGTAGCTGATATGTAAAATAAAAACTAGAACATGACTCAGCTACATTGCACGTCTTTTAAAAAGCAAGATAACGTTTGTAAATTTTTCTTAGAAATAAAATGTAAAGTTTGAAATGTACAAATAAAATGAATTATAAGATAAAAGCAGCTGACAAGCGAAAATATAATTCATTTTGAAGAGAAGGAAATTATATTCTCAAAATATGAACATCTTTTAATCAATTAGAAAGGATGCCATTTTTAATCGGGCTGGATTTTAGTTGCATAATAATAATAATAATATTGCTGTGTGTATTTTGTTTACTTTACCAATTCAGTAGACTGTGCACATCGATCAATTATCGATCTTAAAACACAGCTGTTCGTTGAAACAGTACTTCCACATACTTATCCATTTTTTATTGACCGATTTTAAGACCGAGAAATAATCGACACGCAATTTGTTAAGTTAGAAAAGTGTATACAAACTTCAAAAATATTATTCTAATTAATTGTAAGCTTCATATCTGCCCTGCTTCACTTAGCACTGAAGATCCCTTCCCTTTCTCAGAGCAATATAATTTCATTTTCAGGAAGAAAATTCTTCTTTCTTTATGAAAACGTTCTTTTTCTAGAAAAGAATGGAATATTTTTGCCTTTTTGAAATACTTCCTTTTTGCAAAAAATCATCGTAAGAAGCAAAGATATTTCATTCTCTCTTCAGTTCCCTTTTTTCCGACTATACTAAAAGACTTAACGAACCAGAAGAATAGAATACTGAAGACATTCGCAGTCTCCCTGGGGTTTGATTTCATCTCCGTCGTATCCTTATCCATGTTATCGCACTATCTCACAAACTTTGACGACACTTTAAATTAACAGAAAACAAACAAAACAGTCAGCATTCTCAGTTTCTTTTTCTTGCTCTGGCTCCGTCTTCTTCGTTCTTTTCCCTGCCGTCGAGGCACGCTTTCCAATAGACAATCCTTTACTGAAACAATCAGTAACCGTGTCGTTACTTTACATATCAGTTCGAGGCATTACTAATATGATGATATACGAGAAACGTCAACGATATCTGCCCTGTACGTTGTATAAATGCAGCTGCATAACGCATTTCTTGTTTTACTTTTCACATATTGTAGTTCATATAATTCTTTCCACGTACGTTTTCTTTCCTTTTAACTTGATTCTTACAGTAAAATTTTATTCGTTTCTGAACATGATTAAATTAATTATCTAATTTTTTTTTTCTTAATTACCAAAGGTCCAAAGAATACTGTCCCGCAAATAAATTTTGCAAATTCCATAAAATAGTACCTGAGATTTTTCAAACCTTAGCATGGCCATATTACCGTCACAGCCCTTTAGTTAATCTTTAGAAGGGGGTTCTATTTTAAAAGCAATTATACAGTTTTTCTTCAAGTAAAATAAGTTATAACTGTATCATTTCTTGTTTCAAATTATGATACTGTTTGGCTCTGTAATAGCTTCTTGTCCACGATAATGTTGATATTTGAACAGTTGTTAAATTAACAACTGTTAAATTAACAACTGTTCAAATAGCATTATCGTGGACAACAAGAAATGATGCAGTTATAATTTATTTTACTTAAGAAAAAACTGTATAATTCTTGTAAATAGACCCCCTTCTAAAGATTAACTAAAGGGCTTTAACGGTAATATGGCCATGCTAAGGTTTGAAAAATCTCAGGTACTATTTTATGGAATTTGCAAAATTTATTTGTGGGACAGTATTCTTTGGACCTTTGGTAACTAAGAAAAAAAATTAGATAATACGTTCAATTTGAACTAAAAAAAAATAGCTTATTTCCAAAAGTCTGCATTTTGGCTATACTAAAAACATATAAAGATAATAAGGCCATCTTTTCTTACCCTACTTTCTTACCCTTCTTACCCTACTGAATTTTTTAACCATTAATCAATGATTACGGCAGCATTTAATAAGAATTACAAAAATTTATAACACAAGAAATAATTTATGTTACCAACTTGTACGATTTCTTAAAAATGCTCTTAAAATCATACTGATTAAAGTAAAAACTAAATTTTAACGTCACGTCTACTAAAAATAACATAGAAAACTACATGTTACGCAATTAAGCTTTTCGTAAAACACGTTCTTACTTGATAATAGTGTGACGCACATAGATAATTTTAAGCAAAATTGAGTAAGTTATCGTTTTTGTTTAAGTTAAGTTAAACTAAACAACACGTGAGAGAAAACGCCAATGCGGGTCACAAGGCAAGATGTAGGTAGCCCAACACTTGTAATTTTTAGAAATGTGAATTCATATACAGTTTCTTTCCACCTTTGTCCTGCGCGCCGATTTTTTTTCGGACATAACGCAGATTTACGATAATAACTCCACCCGTAAAAAAAATCTGCGTTATGTCCGAAAAGAAACCGGCGCGCAGGACAGAGGTGGAAAGAAACGGTATATGAATTCACATTTATAAAAATTACAAGTATTGGGCCTACCTACATCTTGCCTTGTGACCCGTCTTGGCGTTTTCTCTCGTGTGTTGTTAAGTTAAAGTTAACAGTCTTGAAAATTTAACTTAGTCAAGATAATAAGGATAACGTCGACAATTAACTGGCACAATATATTTCGTTTAAAACATACAACGTTTCGACCAGTAATACTGGTCCTTATCAAGTATTAAAAATTCTTAACAACCCATTAGATGTGACAGCAAAAAATCTAAAACATTTGTTCTTTATTTACTGGCGATCCATCTCTTCAAGTTTTAGTCAAGATACAAGTTAAACCATAATACAATTAATTGAATTAAAAGTTAAGTTAATAATAAAAAGAAATTAAAAAGTTAAAAGTGTTAAATTTGTTTTATTTTTACATAAAATTTCAGGGACTTACCTACGTCATCATGTAAATTGCATTTCGCGACTAGCGTTTGGACAATCACTCACACTACACGGAATATGGCCAATTTCATATGCAAACAATTTCACGTGAGTTCGAGAAATAAAACCCCATATAATAGCTGTGTTCCAAAATTCATTACCAGCACTGAAGATATAGTACACGTATAGGGGAGACCGGGTATGGTTGTCACACGGGTACGTTGTCACAAGAACTATAACAGAAAAAAATATCGCGCACAAGCGTCTAGCAATACGTCATAAGAATGCTAGGACACACCACCGTACCCCCCGCAAACCACTAGTTCGCTGCGGCATGGCGTAAAGAGAGGACAGGTAGTGACCTGTTTTGAAGCGCGCAAAGTAAATTTTAGCGACCAACTATTCATCACGTAGGTACGCGATTATTTGTTTAATTTTAAATTCTTATGATTATTTTCGAAGTACATACTGAGTACTATTATAATTTAATGTAAAATTCGTTGATATCTAGACATTTTAACGAACTTTGTTGGGATTAGAAAGTTTTACTGCTTGGGTTCAGTTGTCATAGATAGACCATTTGGGGCTATTGATATTTTAAAAAGTGTGTTAAAAAATATGTGAAATATTATAAACAAAGTGTTTTTATTAAAATAATTGAGAAAATTAGTATCAGAGAAGTAGATTTTTTAATTTTGATAAATTAATTGATTTTAGCGATCAAACTACTACGTTAAATTAACAGGTTTACATGAAGATAACTCACTGTATTTAACAAGGAGTATAAACCTTGTTTTAAACTCGACCGATTTTTATTTTACAAATCAGTTGCATCAGTATGTAACAATCAATCCTAAGCACTGTGACAACCGTCCCTAAAGCGGGGTAAGATGTCGCAAATTTACTTTTGTACTTAACATCAATTTTCTCTTAACTGGTTATTACTATCCCAGCGACTTTTGTGTAAGAAGTTAGCCAGATATGTGTCTCATGAAGCGATGTAATAATTATTTACATTGCTTTGAAAAAATCACCCAAAACATTCCTAAGAAAAAAAAGTGACTTCCAACCCCGGTCTCCCTTACAGTAGATTTTAGACTTGGCAGTGAATTTTGAAGCACAGAGACTGCCAATTTAGGCAGACACACGGTATCTCGCGACGCCTTTGTTTATGGCATGGCTAACTTTAAGGCCCGTTTTTTCATTTTCTGGTTAATTGTTAACCAGAAGTTAGTCGACTCTCTGTTTTTTTTTCAGATAATAACATAGAAAAAGATGCGGAGTCGACTAACTTGTGGTTAACAATTAACCAGAAGTTAGTCGACTCTGCATCTTAAATTTTTCTATAATATTATCTAAAAAGAAACAGAGAGTCGACTAACCTCTGATTAACAATTAACCAGAAAATTAAAAACCGGGTTTAAGAGAGAGGTAAATTAAAAGGTAAGAGTTACCGATAAAATGCAACTAAATTCAGTTAAAAGTTAACAGTTTATAATGTAATTAGGTTAAGTTAAAATTATTTAATTTTGTAACATTTTAACTTAACTTTTATCTCTTTAACTAGACACTACCCAACCTTGGTTTCAGGCGTTCTAAAAACACGTCAGAGAGAAAATACTAGCAGGATCTGAGCTTTTCCGTACGTATTACCTTCTCTGGAGTTAGATGATTGTATTACAAACCTGGCCGCCATATTATACTCAGTGACCTTAAATAGATAACTATTTTAAGAATAACTCTGACTTATCACTTTACATAGTATTTAAAAATTCTAAGAAGGAAATAAACTGCCTATTATTAGCAACTTATTTTCTAGCCAAGGTTAAAAAAAGTTTATAAGGAGACAAACGAATTTTTTGTCAACACTTTAATGTAATTTAAGTTCCTTTAAAAAAGACAATTTCATTGTAAAATAAATTAATTCGTTGTATAAAATTAATACTGTTGTACGTACCATTTTATGATTAACTTTTGAAGTATAAAATTGGCAACAATGAATCCTTTTGGCAGTAAGTAATAGAGTTAGTGTATGAAGGAAAGATAATTAACGTCGCTTAACTTGTTCGGTAACATTCGAGAATTGGAAGGTGTAAAACGGACATCGTGATTACAATTTATTCCTTCTTCGTATATTTCGTTATACTTTGGTCAATCATTTCATACCGCGTGAGCACGTATATGCATACTTTCGCCTTGAGTTACTATAAACACGCAATATTTAACAGTTCGCCGCACGACAGTGTCGTGAAGATTTTACGCAACAATGCGTAAATGACCGCAAAGAAATGGCAACGTTCCAAACATGACTGATTACCAATGAAGTAGCTGTAAAAATGATTCCAAAATCCTAATTCCTATCGAATACGTAAAAGCGATCATTTACTAAAAATATATATATTCGTAAACTTACACGTAAAGCTTGTTTCAAACATAATTATATAAATTTATGTTACATATGTATAATGAGGTATATGTGTATACTGTTGTAACATTATTCTATTACGTTACTAATATATAATATATTTTAGTACTCTTTTATATATTAATTGCATACTAAAAAATAGTTATTAGCAAAAATATGCTATATTGCCTACATAATATATTATTAAAATTATCAAAACAGGTAATAATACTCTATTATATACATATACATGGTCCATTATGAAAGTAATGCGCATGATTTTACTGTGACGCGACTATCCATCGCAACGGGATAAAACGGGTCGGGAAATATGGTGGAGGGTCTGCCCTTTTAATGCAGCCGGTCGCCAGTTTGCTCCGAGCACTCTGAGTGGAAAGACGTGCCTCCGCGTGAAGTGTATTTTTCGACTTTGTAACACGGCGCCATGGAGCGTTCGCTTGAACAGAGATACGCCATCAAGTTTTGTGTGCGGCTTGGAAAGAATGCAACCGAAACATTCCAGATGCTTCAAGGGGCCTTCAAGGACGACTGTATTTCAAGGTCACAGTCCGGGAGGTGGCACAAGGCGTTCAAGGAGGGCCGGGAGGAGATCGCCGACGAACCCCGTTCTGGACGCCCAACAACGGCCAGAACCCTCCACCATATTTCCCGACCCGTTTTACCCCGTTGCGATGAATAGTCGCGTCAATAAAATCACAATAAAATCATGCGCATTACTTTCATAATGGACCATGTATATACTATATATTACGCATATTGTGTCACTATACCCCACTTTTTTCATTATACCTGCTATAATATATATTCTATGTATATTTTTATCCTAAGAGGTAATGTATGGTATATAGTTGCACAGTTAATAAATGCAGTATACAAAAGTATCGAAATTCCGGCATTTACACATGTATTATAACAAGAATTGTGTAGACAAAATATAAAATTTAAATAAATCGTTTTGTTAAGTATTTGTTTGAAGGAATAAAGAACTAAGAGCCGTGACAGGGCGTTAAAATATCTAAATATTTCATATCTTGAAATTTATTGCGAAAAATATTACCTCAGCCAGGGTGAGGTAATATTTTTTGCAATAAATTTTGAATATTAAATATGTGGACATTAACACTTTGTCACGGCTTTTAGTCCATTACTCCTTCAATTTGTGTTTATCACATACATTTGAGCCATACAAATTTTATTAAGTATTTATGTTAAAGTAAGAATATTCGTACATTAACTACATTCGGATCGATATACATATTTATACTAAGTGTGAACTATACTGATCCATCGTAACATGAATTTTGGATCTCTCGTGCGTCATCAGATCTTCATTGAGGAGCAAAATTAATCGGATAATGAGAAATAATATAATTCTGCATAATCAAATCAGTATCATTGTGTACTATTTATAAACATATAATATATAAGTACAAAATTTATAAGTAATATATATGTATAAATAAAAATTTAATAAAAATTGACATAAAATTTATATAAATGGAAATAAATTGAATACTTATATATAAATATGCTTTTTAAGATTTATATATAATTCCAATTTAGTTTTTAAAAATTTTACTCCACAAATATTATATGTTCAATCTCTAAAATTCCTCTTTCAATATCGGTAGAGATTTCAGTAAGTTTACTATGCGTGAATATTATCTCAGGTGCAACTTTAATTTATAATATAATAATTACAGATTTCGGATAAATCACGTTTTATCTCAATAATTCGGTTCATCGTCAATCGTATTCTTTATTACAAGAATTAGGTATTTGTAATTTTTGTAATAGGCCAAATATAAAATAGAAAAAATAGCAGTATCGCCGAGCTCAACTCGTGACAGAAACTTTGTACTACATATACCATATATTATGGGGAGGTCATAGAAAATAATCTCGCAGCGACGATCTCGTTAAAAATGATACAAAAATATGATTCCTTAGACGCGTCTTACGTTTCACATCACAACGTTATGACATTTGACGGAATTACGTGTCCGCCACACTTCGAAGAAAGACAATATGGTGTTGATCTTAGATTGATCTTAGAAAGGTAACATTCATCCACATATGCCATTATGCACGTCCCATATATCTTTTTCTATAATATATCATAAGTATACTGAACATATTTAAACGATCCACTTTCATTTCGAGAAACCTATCTAAGACAACGGTATAAAATTCATCTTTGCATCGTTACGTTTCTCCGTACTTGTTGAAGTAGGCCTGCCTCGCCACGTTGACCAGTTGATCGTACATACCTGGTCCAGTCTCTTTTACTAACGAAGTAAATTGACTATAGCTGTTTTTCAGTAATACATGAGGATGATCGTATTCCTACAAATAAAATTGTAATTATGATTCAGTGATTGCGCCCATTTTTCGTAAATCATAATTCTTGCGCATTGAAAATGATGAACAAAATTTTTATAACATCTGCATAATAAAATATCTTTTAGAAATTATGCAAAATTATGTGAAGAATCCTAAAGAAGAATCCTTCATTTTTTTAAACAAAATACTTTTAAACGCTTGGCAGAAGATGTAAGATAAATTATATAAGGATTTTAAGAAACGAAAGATTCTTCAAAATTTAAAATCTCTGACGTTCGAATATAAAGAATCTTCAAAGATTCGCATGCGAAGAAAATTAAAAATTGCAGGCCTTCAGATTGTCATAAAAAATGCATCTTTTAAGAGGAACTGTACTCACAGCCATACGACCCTTATCCATCACCAGAACCTTATCGCTGTCCATTATGGTGTTCAGTCGATGCGCCACTGTGAGCATCGTGCACGTTGCGAATTTCTTCCTGATAGTCCGTTGAATCAACGCGTCGGTATGCGGATCTACGTTCGCGGTCGCCTCGTCCAGCATCAATATGCGGTTGTTTCTCAGGATGGCTCTCGCTAAACACACCAACTGTCTCTGTCCAACGCTGTAATTGCTGCCTCTGTTAAATACACGACTTTCCAAACCGTTTCCGAGAGTAATGACCGCCTCCTTCAGCTCAACCTGGACATTCGTTGCGAAAGAAATTTTTGGATAGTACACAATGTTCGTAATTATTCGTTGCACAATCTTAGGACCATGTGACTTGACATTTGATATTTCGAGATTCTACATATTCCAAAACTCTCTTCCGGGTCTTTGGATTTTAAGATGTTTTTAAGATGATGTTTTTGGAGCCAGAATATCGGAACCGTCGGATTTTGCAACGTCATAGCATTATACATTTCCTGATTAGACGCAGAGCTACTTTTAGATGTAATAATAAATCGTTCGTACCTCTTCAAGCGCCCCCCACAAATCCGTGTCGGAAAATTCGTTGAAAGGATCTAAATTATGCCTCAGAGTACCTGAGAACAAAACGGGATCCTGGGGAATGATGGATATTTTGCGTCGTAAGTCCTCCAAAGCTATCGAACCCGTGTCCACGCCGTCAATCTCGATGATTCCCTCCACTTTTGCCAATCGGAACAACGCTGATATCAGCGACGTTTTCCCGGCTCCTGTTCTTCCCACGATACCAATCTGTGTGACAGTACATTAAACTCTTTCTTTGTCTTTTTCTCTCTTACTCTACTCGTCTCTGCAAATTTTTTTTTCCAAATTCCTGTACCTTTTCCCCAGGACGGATCACCATATTCAAGCCCTTGAGAACAGGTGCATCCTCGTCCGAGTAGCGCATATAAACGTTCCTGAATGTGATGCAACCTTGATCGGGCCAATTTTTGGGGGCGTTGGGCGGCAGTGCTGCATTTTTGTCTTTTTTCTTCACGTATGGCCCCCGATCTCTCAGATTTGCTTCTGCCGGCAGCTGAATGTATTCGACCACACGTTCCACGGCCGTCATCTGGTTTGCCACCTCCGCAGTTTGTCGCATCCCCCACTGAATTACCCCGGTCATTGCCATTATCTGAGTGATGGCCAAACCCACCTCCCCACCAGAAAATGCTGAAAGATATGCAAAACACTTGATTCTACCGTTTTCATTTCGTTTTAATTTTACAACATATACATTTTTCAACACTAATCATCAATATCCCACTTTATGGACTATATTTTTTATCTACAATTTTAATAATCAATAAACTTCCCTTTGAATTTCAAAACACATTAAATTATTTAATATTTTTAACATTAACTATATATAGAAAGAGGAGTTTTCAGAAAATAATAGTTTCAGAAAGAAAATAATGCGTTTTAGTAACAATAAGTAAAAATCTTTATAGTCTCTAATAAATTAATATATTTTGCATAAAAAATACTCTGACTTTTTGTGCCTTTTTATACATATATATTTTTTAATGACAATTATTCGTAGATAAAATTTGAGGTAAAGTAAGGAGAAGAAACTTACATTGACTGAACAACAAAAAGCTGAAGGTGAGGAGTGTGGTAATGATGAAACAGCACATGTCCAAGGAAAATCCAAATGCAGCGCTGCCCACGATATACGTGTACATGGTAGACATGTGTACATCTTGCAGATTGTCGAATTCGTGTTTGAGTACGTCCTGAGCACAGTACGCTCTGATAGTCGTCAAACCGTTCAACGTGGCGTTCAAGTGCGTGAATAGCGGCGAGCGAGCTGGGACACAAAAAGAACATCCCGCGAGAATATTATTTCTTCAGAATGTAAATTCTTCTTATAAACTAAAGCACTATAAGTTTCACCCATTTAACAAAAATTGTAATGTGGAAAATAGTCATTTTATTTTCTCCATTTATATTTTTTCCCCGGTATGATTTTCACAAAGTGATAAATATGATCAAAATTTTTATAAATTCTAAAGACTAAATAAAAAAGGCAGACATACCTATTCCCTCCAATCGTTTGACGTTTTTGCTAGTCTTGAGGTAGACTTTACGGATCCAATAGAATATTCCGCCGACGACTACGATAGGCGCCACAAAGATGGGATTGACCACGCAGACCACTATCAATGACCCAAACAACACCATGATCATCTGGCCGGCGTCCAGAATTGCCTTGGGTAACACTTCATCGGTCGCGCCCACGTCTTTGGAGAATCGATTGAGGATCCTGCCGCTCGGATTAGTGTCGAAGAATCGCATTCCTGTACGAATTAGCGCACTGAACATCATATCGTGCAGGCGCTGGCTGCACCTTATGCACGTCTTGTAGTGGACCAGCGATCTGATGATGGCGAAGAAGAAGATTGCCAGCACGATACCAGTGTAGATATAGATATAATTAATCACCGTTGCGTCCTCGATGGCAAGGTATTGACGTGCTTCCGTCCTGTTCGTGTAAGCTTCATCCGTTTGATGATTCAAGTCGAGATGCTTGGACTCATAGTTTTGTGTTTCCACAAAATTGACACTGGAGGTATTTATTCGAGAAAAAAAATTATAGAACGATTAGTGGACCAACTAAAAATGGCAAAACATGACTTAAACACATCCGCGAAATATTGGAATTAAATGCACGAATGTGCGAAATTAATATATAGAAATTTGCAGATTTCAAAAAATTGCGTGATATTACAAACAGTATGAAAAAATGCGTGTGAAAAATAATTATTTATACAAGAAACGTTTCTTTAAGCGATTTCATTGGTAGTATAGGTGCTCACAAGAAAGGCACAAAGAGGTCGTTGACACTGACGATGAATTGCGTGATGATGAACAGAAGGAGGACCAGGAAAGCCAAGTATAAATTGCCTCCAATCTTGAAGAACTTAATAATTAAAGGACCCTTAATTATGCCACGCGACGTCTTCTCAAGACCGTCGTTTAACTCCTTGGGATCTTCGGCTTCCTCTTCATCGTCTGTGCCGCTACTGGGTTCCGGAGTTCGACTCTGTTGAAGGAATTTTACCTTCAGTAACATTAACCATTTTTCTTCATCAGTTAAACATTATTCATTGTTAATATTAAATACGGCAACTATAAAACATTGGTTTATCTTTTCCAAATTCTCTGTCTTTCTCTCCTCTTTTTTTCTCCGTACGATAAAGCAATTTTTCTTACACTAAAGTAATTTCATATTTATATATTTACTTACTCTGTTACTTGTGGAGGAAAACTGTCGTCGTAAGTTTATACTCTTTTCCAAGGTCGAGTCGTCGACCTCTTCATTCTCCGGTACCAGAAGTACTCCGTACTCGGGTCGATATTCCAATAAATCCTGATAATGTGAGAAGTACTGTATTTTTCCCTGCTCGAGCAGTATAATAGCGTCTACTCCTCTTATATACTGCAGCTGATGCGTCGCTAAAATTCTCGTTTTACCGGCCAGGTATCTTTGAATACATTCTTGAAACAGGTGCTTGCTGACGTGTGCGTCGACCTGAAATTTCAAACAAATAATCTTTGTTAGGATTCATATTAAATTTAAAGTCCCACTTCATTATTATTCATAAGATTTAAATCAAGTTTAACCACTTGCATAAAGTCTACATCATGTATGATACTCCACGCCTGGAAGAATAAACTCAGAGTTAAATTACTGATTTCTTCGACGATCACCCACCGCGCTCAAAGGATCGTCCAGCAAATAGATGTCCGACTGCCTGTATAGAGCTCTGGCCAAGTTGATCCTTGCCTTCTGACCGCCAGATAATGAGCTGCCCCGTTCACCCACGACGGTCAGGTCGCCCTGCGGAAATTGCTCGAAGTCCCGTACCAGGGCGCAAGCCTTGACCACCTTCTGGTACCGTTGGCGTTCGTAAGTTTGCCCGAAGAGTATGTTCTGTCGGACGGTAGCACCGAAGACCCAGGCCTCCTGGCTGGCGTAGCTGATGTCGCCGTTCACCTTTACTTGACCTCCCGTCAGGTTGATCTCGCCCAGAATCGCGGACAGGAAAGAACTCTTACCACTACCCACCATGCCGATCACGGCGTACAGCTTGCCCTTTTCTACTTCTAGATTCAAATTCTCCAGGGTGTTCTCCGATTGTCTTTCCTCCCACTTGGCAGTAACGTTAACCATGTTGATGGCCCAGGCGTTCGTATCGTGCATAGATTGTTTCTTTTCTGTGAAGAGTAAACTTTTATTGTGCGTTAAGCTTTTCAAAAGTAAATGTTAAAAGGATGCTGCAAACGTCCAAACAAAACGTCTCATAAGACCTAAAAATTCGCCAAATTCTAAATAAAAATGTAAAAGTTTAAAACTTTAGAGTTTGATATCTTTTGACATACTTATTACTTCATTAAAGTAATCATTTCTTTTCAAGCTCTAAAGTATGTACAAAGACCAGTAGATTTGGAATATCTCTTTAATAGTTTCACGATATTGTATATACGTATATTTACTCTCTACCTCCAACGTTAGCGTTTTTCTTCAATAAGTTCTCGCTCTCGACGACCATCAGACTGTTGTGTTTTCTACGCTCGCTGTCTTCTCCGTGTGACTCCAGCTGATTCTCAACGACGTCGTCATCAATGTAGGGCAGATCCTGTTGGGAGGCGCGTTTGAAATCCGAATTGACGTCGCCAGACACCGTCTTGGAGAAAATAACGTTGCTACCTTGGAACTCGTCGTACACGAGGAAAGTCTGGAGCCGGCGTACGGCCACCATACACTCGGCCAGCTCGGCGAAGCCGCGCACGAACATGCCGGTCATGGTGTGCGCGAGAACGTTGAAGTAGGACGTGACGACGAAGACCTTGGCGGCGGTCAAATCGTCGCCGGACATCAGCATGACGATGAGGGTGCAGAACAGCGCCATCCGAGTGGTGAACAGATTGAAGGTCATATAAATACCGCGGATGTACGAGCTCTTGGTGACCACTCGTAGCTCGAGCTTACGCGCCAGCTCGATCATGGCGCAGAACGGCTTCTCCCACGCGTACATCTTGATCACCTGCACCCCGGAAGTGATTTCATCCATCAGCCGGACCCGCTCGTCCGTCTTAATGGCGGTTTGAAGACGGAACTTGGACGACAGCTTGCCGGTATAAGCTGGAATCGCGGGAGTAGAAATTGGCGAACGTCCTCAGTAAAATGACTTGTCGCATATAACGTCTCCTCGCATCAGTATCGTGAATTTATTTTTCCGTGTGCGCGAGCAGAGTGGTAGTACAAGATTTTCGTGGTTTGTCGAAAGAGAATTTGCATGCGACTCGTTGCAAGACTTACATTGAATCGGCACGACCAGGAAGAGTGCGGCGATGCCGTAGAGACCGGCATAGCTGACCTCCCGATAAAGAATATAAGCCACGATCAGGGCGGAGAGCGGCGCCGACCACATGTAATGAATAAGGATACTGACGTAATCGAACCTATTGACATCGTTGCCTATCAGATTAACCACTTTTCCGGGTGCCGTCTCGCCCAGTGCGGTTTCGCTCAAACGCAGAGCCTGCAAGACAAATGCAAAATTACATAATCCGATAGCTGACACGTTGGCGAATCATATCGCAGGAGAAATATTCAAATCGGTCACACAATATTGACCTGATCGGTTATTAGAGAATTCGCAAGATCCAAAAAGTCTTTACTTTTTGTTATAGAATTTTTCATCTCTTCGCTTGTTCGTATAACTTTTCTTTATACTTACTCTCTTCTTTTGTAAAGAAATGCACGAGTACGTGGTGCGAGCATCTGCCTGTTTTCTTAGACTTTGCGCTCACTCTTTATTTCCACCCATGTTGTTATTAGTCTGAATTGTTTAAATAGATTATTCCTAGTGACCAACCTTTCTATATATCACGGAGCAGACGGCCACGCGAATTTTGCTGCCCACGTGGTAAGCGCCGAAGATCGCTTGATTGCCGCTTATCACGTACATGGCGGTAGTTAGGCTGATCCCAACGGCAAAGCATAGGGCAGTCTCGAAGAATTCTCCCGAATCCTTCTGAAAGTAACGAAGGAGACCACCCAGCAGCAAAGGCGTGCTTAATCTGTAAAACAGCGCGTTGACGTTTCACGTGTCTATACTGGACGTTAATTAATTTTAAAAAGTAAACTTTTCAATGACAGATTAATAATCGGCAGTAATTATTTCGTATCACTTCGGTATCATTTTGTCATGCCAGATCAACATTATTGGCCAGATAAAAAGAAATCGCGAAAAGTATTAAATAAAATACGAGAGATTTACGAGGATGAACGAGATGGCGAGTACCTTAACACTAATTCGTTTAAAATCTGTAATATTCCCAGCATGGAGTATTCCCATAGGAACGTGCGGAAAATAGCCCTCAACAAACTCGGACTGCGTTTCCATTTTTTCGAGTTTTCCAGCTCGATGTTCCATCGTCTGCAAGTACACCGTTGTTGTTATAATTTCTACACCTTTATAAAAGAGCGAAGCGAAAGAAAGAGAAATTCTGAATACTTTCTCTCGTCTTCTTCACTTTTCTTGTATGATTTCTCACACGTTACTCACTTTTCTAACCGATCTCCGAGTAGCTTCGCTCGGTCGACTTTCAAGGGGTCGTACAAGTCGTCTACTTCTAAATCTTTTTTGTATCCAGTCTTGAATATACTAATTGTCCACCTGATCCAAAGCAATTTGTGTAAATTAGGACATTATCCCAGCGAACAACATTTTTAGAACTGTGCTACAACAGTTACAAAACGCAATGTAACCAAATATAACAAGTTACACAGAGTGTTGAACAAATGCGGTACTAAATTTTAGGAATATGTAGCACTTGTGAGAACCAAAAATAGCTGTAAAACACAGTTATACTGTACATAAAAAAAATTAAATAACCACCGTGAATAAAATGCCAGCAACTGATGCTGATGGCTCTTTGCTAGGAATATGAATTCAATGTTTGAGTGATTTAAGTACAGCTAGGATAATGTTAACATATTGCCGTAGTTAAATGCACAGCTAAAGAGAGAGCACGTCGAACAGGCATGCTGCCAACAAAGAATTAGCATATATTGTTTTCAATTTTCTAACAGATATAAACATATTATATCTATTACATCTGGCCAAGCACTTAATGCTAGCATAATGTTTGGATCATGCAAATGTCTCATTTCCGACATCAAATGCTAGCAAACGACATTTTGCTGACTGGATAATTTCTGTTAAATGATATGTTATTTATCAACATTATATAACAGTTATAATCTATATTATGAATAGATATCTTATCAAGTAACGTCAGATTACAAATGATAAGAACGATAGGAATACGGTAATGTTGAAACTCGGAACTTTAGAAACAATTCCCCGCGAAATTACGTTCATGACATGACAAGGCGATTTTACTATATCCCATACGGCACAAGACTTTCGGGGGCGTCCTGAGGTCTTGTGCTGTATGGAATATTAGCTTCGCAATGTGCACTTTTGAAGATAAGCTTGCTTATCTTCGTAAGAATTCATTTGCGGTAAAGGTTAGCCTTACGTACCAAGCAACACGTACATTTACAACGCACACAATTTGACACGAAATGTTATTCCGAATCGTTTCAACATTTATTAACGCGACAAATTATTGTGCTTAAAAATAGAATGTGCAAACGTGATTACTTACAGAATAAATATTTATCTATAAAATATTCTAAATCACTGGACTTTAAAATATTCAAAATAAAAAGTATTCTACTATATAACGTCTTCGAGTGTAAATAACGGATAAAGGCAACATAATGCAAAAGCAATTGTGGTGAAGCAGCAGCTTTAATCAATTGATTTAATGTAATGCAACTAGCTCGGCTGACAATAAATCTAAATGTTTAAAACAAATCTGCAGATGTTTAAATATTCAGCATTTAAGTACCCAAGCGCTCAGACACTTCCAGATTTTGCGGAGGACCGGAAGAGTCTTGTCGGAAGAAGCTCTGATCCGTGAAAAGATGAAATGACTCACCACCAGAACAACACCGACACGATGTTCGCCTTTTCCCGCGGATTCGGGTTCGATCTGACTTTCGATGAATCCATCGGTCATTACACGCGGCATTAACTCGTCACGAACTTCCACGGTTAAAAGCGATTGATTAATTTACTGCGTTTGCAAAGATTATGCAACACTTAGACACTTTCGGCGTTTAACATTTGCCCCTTTTACGCGAACGCGAAGACAGAAGATTCTTTCACGACCTTAACAGTCCACGGTGTCAGTGTCCTTTCTTCGATTGTCACAACTTATCATCAATACGAAGATCCTTCTCTTAACGCGCGTAGATTGTTAGCCACCCAGTACAATTCGCGATCTTCTTACACGATCGTAATCAGATTAAAATTAACACTTCGCATATATCGTTGTCTCAGCCGTTTGCAAATATCGTCACTTCCCACGGATCGATCGATGCCAATCTTTTGCGAATTCCCAGTGAAACCCTTTCGAAAGTAGAATAAGGTGTCAGTCGTGAACATCTGTCGTTTCTTGAGATTTATCCTCGAGTATCTGCTTGCAGTTATCAGGATGTGAATCTACCTAAATTTTTATAAAAATTTTTTAGAAAAAAATTATATCAGTAAAAGTAATTACATAATTGTTATTAAGAACATTACTATTTTTACGTAAACTAATTACAAACAACAAACGTTTAAACAGTGATTTATTTACCTTAATGATTTTCAATGATTCAACTTTAGAGGTAATTATAATTTCCTGACTCTTTTATTTTTCTCCGCTAGTAAAAAATGTGTCTGCAGTCCTGTTTGTTTTATTTCCGCGGTAAAAAAAAGAACGTGTACGCGTGACGAGGTGACAAATTAGTGACGAAGTCTGCTCTGATGACGATCAGCTTGTCGACCCAGGACCCAAATGATTTGTCGGGTTTCGTCAATCTGCGTTTGAAGAAAAAGCCTGTATCATGTGCTTCCACCGTCTCAGCCTTATCTGGCTACACGCGATTTGTTTGCTTGCTGTGTCACTTTTTAAATAACACGGAAGGCTGTACATTCGCGACATTACGTTATCACTATCTATTGAAATAACGAAATTGATATGCGCGCTTGCCATTAATTGGCCGTCACGTGCGCGTTATGTCTACTATACCCAAATCTGATCAACGCGTGTGTAAGGAAAAGTGACAAAAAGTTTCCTCGAGAAGTTTACTGATGTCCCGATGCCTGATAAGTGTCTGCATCGATCATGAATAATGCGGAGCACTTCCAGTTGTTTTTTTTTTATGCGTGAGGTCCAGATAGAAATCATGCAGACCATCACACGTTGCTCGCGTCACAACCCTGCCGGAAATAATTCTACAAAATTCTACAAAACTATAAAATATAACTGCCAGAATCTAAGAAATTCCATGTAAATTTAAAAAGTGTTGTGAGAAAATCAACATGAAAATGCTAGAATTGGAACACTTGTCTTAATTTTTATAATATTCTACAAGTAAGCAGAAGTTTTAATTCATTAAGATTTTGTTGTTTCTTAAACTTCTGAAGCTAGTAAAGTTCTGTACTAATTTTTACAAAATTGTACATTTTTATGAAATACTACTTGCAATAATTTCTCGACCTGAGAACATTGTAATTTGTGGTACTATTTCGTAGATATTTTTACAAAAAATTAATGTTTCAACGAAGATATAAAAAATTCTACAAATGTATATTTCAAGTCAATTTTCGTTGTTGTTTGTCGAAATTTTTTTCCATTAGGGAATGCGAGTCAGAGTATACCTTCGTATATATGCAGTATTCAGGCGTACTTTAAATTGTAACAATTACATAATAATGTATATTTAAATGAGTATAAAAAAGGAACAGAATGCGCGGTTAGATTGCAACTTAATGGTCCACGCTATAACAATTCAGTGAAGACAAAAATGTGAGAGCATAGTTTCTTTTTTTTTTCAAGCAAATAGAAAGTGCTTCTGTTTTATTTCAAAGATTACTGAACTATATACTCGAGGATTAGTATCAGCGTTATCATCTCAAGCGGTTTATCTCTTGTATATGAAACGCAGATTGTACAACAGATTACTCCAGAAGCAAGAACATCAACGGATTAGCCTGACGCTGAACTCGAGTGGAGTTCGCGGAAGAATAACAGCGTGACAACGGCACACATGTGTGTCGTGGTCGGCAGTGTGCGAGATCAATGGTTGAAGAAAGGGTTTAAGACTGCGGGCCGTCAGAATGGCCCAGACAGCACACAAACGTTTTAAAGACGTATTAAAAACGTATACATTGGACGTTACGTACGTATGTAAGACGTCCATTTTAGATCCATGAACATCTTTAGGACGTTTTAAAAACGTTCCAATGTTACTTTTATGGATGTCCTAAAAACGTTCGATTTAAGGCCCCGCCGGACCAAAACTGGACGTTTTTAGGACGTGAAAAGGATGTTTATTAATAAATACCCTGATGGAAAAATTTTGCTCAAAACGCAATGAAATTTGCTGAAATTTGGTTGAAAATCTCTTGCAATTGACCCAATTTTATTATCATTTCAGCAATTTTTCATTAAAAAATTTATTTTCAGTGAAATTCTGCAAATTTCATAATATACATTTCAAAATTTTTTTCACTAATTTTTAATAATATT